AAGGAAGCCCCGACACATGTAACTTCAAAGCAACAGCACACTTGCAGAGTAAGCTGGAAGCCTGAACGATCTCAATGATTACCCCTAGGGTACATTAATCCACCGCCCCGCCCCCCCCCTCACCTGTCACACCAGGCGGTTCAATTTATGGTGTTAGTGTCGAGGGTGTGGGCAGCTGTGAAGTTGTTGCTGATGGACATGAGCATACTGGTAACAAGTGCTGATCAGGGCACAAGCTTAAGACAATGAAAGATTTCGTCCAACCCACAAAACCTCTGAATCCTCCACATTGAAACATACCCCCAGAAAGCTAACCCTGAAAAGCCTATTTTCTGCACATGAAACTCTGTATTAGTAAAGGTGCCCAGCCGGCCTGCAAGTCTCCAGTCACGGCTGGCAGTGCTAACAAACAGTGGACAGTAGACAGTGGACAGTGGACAGTTATTAGGTCTAAAAGGGTATCGTGCCAAGGCAGGGCAAAAGGTGGGGAAAGGCGAATTAACCGGAGGAGGCGTCGGTTAATTCGCGACCTTTTTAATTGTGGGGGAGGGATTCCGGGCCTAGGGGGGTTTAAGGCTAAGCTAGTTTGTGGACCACTGCGAGTGACAGTGTTGGCCTGCAGGTGCTGGGGTCCTACCTCAACGAGCTCAGACTCTGTCCACTGTCCACTGTTGCCAGCAGCAGCAGTCGCGCGCGCTGTCACGCAGAAGCGCGCGCTATGCGCGCAGAAGCTGCACGGGCTGCTGTGAAAAAGTGCACGCGCTGTGCGTGCGCGGTGCGCGCGCAGTGCGCGCGCGGTGCGCGCGCTGTGCGCGCGCTGTGCGCGCGCAGTGCGCGCGCAGTGCTGTGTGTGCATGCACGCTGTCACGTGTGTGCACACTGATGTTGTAGTAATACTACATTACTACATGTTCTACTTTCACATAAAGCAGTTGCTTTTCTGTTAATGTTTGCATTTGGGGCCTCTGGACAGAACATATGACAAGTTTCTGGAGCATGCAGTGTTCTGTGCTCAAGCTTTAGAGAGAGAATGTGGCATCAGCATCATGTTCTTCATAATCATGAACAATGTAGTGCAGAGTCTGCAAATTCAGGGCAGTAGCATTGCAGAACGGACAGCACTAGTTCATCCAACGTGCAGTGTCCACTCACTGTCCACTGATATTGTTGGGCAGCAGCATTGCGGAACGGACAACGACAACACTAGTCCATTGTCCACTGTCCATTGTCCACTGTCCATTGTCCACTGTTTGTGGAGAATGGGCCGGATGGTGAAAGGAAAATCCAAGAACCTAAAAAACAAGCCCAAGATTGCCAAAAAACCCGCCAGCAATCGGAGTGGCAGATCTGGTAAGTCGGGATGGGCACAATGGACGAAGAACAAGGCTGAAAATGCCAAAGAGCAAGAAGCAGAATCGCGAGACCGGCCAGAATCAGAAGAAGACTCGCCTTTTTGTCATGTGGACGTGGACGCTACAGATGATGTTGATGCATGTTCAACTCGAACGGTGAGCACACAAACGCCACGTTGGATTCGCCGTGTTCAGCCGGCGAAAGATGAGAAGGACTCGTGCTGTTTTTTCTCAATTGTGTTGATCAGCCCTGGTGCTTGCAGGACCTGAAGAGAAAAGGACGAACCAGCATGATGCATCACAGTCTGTGCCCGAGTGATGCTTTCAACAATGTGTTCCCATGCAATGTTGCGAGCCAGGTCGGGCTCTCGATGGCTTTGGCACCAATGAACTACTGGACTGCGGCCGGATGCTGTTTTGCCACTGACTACTACACTACTACCACTACTACCACAACTACTGGTTTGCAAGCTGCGTGGATTGCACGCAGGCAACGTTGTTCTCTTCCGCCCCGTGAAGAAGAAGCTGGCAGAGCAGAACTGAGAGCAAAAAAAAGCGCCATTGTTTTGATTGCAACTGAGTATAGCTGCATCTTGGGTGGGGTCTTCCCTGTGCACAGGAGTAGTAGTAGTAGTAGTAGTAGTAGTAGTAGTAGTAGTAGTAGTAGTAGTAGTAGTAGTAGTAGTAGTAGTAGCAGTAGTAGTAGTAGGAGTAGTAGTAGTAGTAGTAGTAGTAGTAGTGGTAGACGTAGAACAATGGACGGTGGACAGTGTCGTGTATATTCCCTCTGGCAACAATATATTCATGACATCGTTGATGAGCCTGCCCTGCCCCACCCCAGTCCAACTTGCAATCTGTTCCTGCTGTTGCTGCTCCTGCTTTTGCTGCTGTTGCTGTCCACTGTTCACTGTTCATGGTCTTCAATGCTCACTTTAAATCCTGCTTTCAAAGCCCCTTAAGGCTCCCAAAACGAAAAGGTCAGAAGGTTAGATACCAACGAACGGAAGGTCAGTTGCTTTGAACAGGGATTAAAACAGCAAGGCAGCAGAGAGGCTTCGGAAGAAGAATGGCTCGCTCGGTCTCTACACTTTTCCTTCCACGGGCAGCTTGGGCTTGAGGCTCAAGGGGCCCCTGCGGATCAGAGGACTGAAGCCTAGCTGGCACTGCGCAATTCACACAAGCAACCCCCTGAAAGGCTCGCAACAGCACCGAACTTTCATAGCCAGGGCGCAGATGGATCAAGACCGCGCAGACGTTGTCCTAAACAGACAGCGGGGCCGGGCAGACGGGGCCGGGCGGACGGGGCCGGGCGGACGGGGCCGCGGGCCGCTGTTAAGCTGGGCTTGGCACGAGGTCGTGGAAGAGCAAGGCGTTGCCCAGGGCCGTGGTCGCGCAGAGCAGGGTCCCCGTGCCTACGACGAAGCGAGAGCCGAAAAGAGAAGCCGCTACGAGTGGCGTGGCTCGGCTCCCTCTTCTTGGAGCTGGAGCTGCGCTGCTGCGCTTTGCTCCCTCTGAGGCGCGCCTAATCCCCAGCTCGCGCACATGCACCTAAGGCGGGCTCTCTCTCTCTCTCTCTCGCTCTCTCTCTCTCGCGCCGAGAAGCACTCTCCTCCGTCCAAACCGCTCCGAAAAAGAATCTCAGGTCCAGCGCCATCTCTGAATCCCTGGCGGGATCGAACACACCATCAGCGCCAGCAGCAAGAAGACCTGGACTGCAAGCTCACGCATCTCCGCTGACCCAAAGCCTCGCTTCCGGCGGTATCATGGCTCCTGTCTAAGGGGGGGGGGCGCCGCATCATCGGCATTTCGCACTCCTTGTCAATGCTATCGCCCATGCTTGTGGATAAGGATAAGTACAGCGCCCAGGTCACCGGTGGCAACTGCTGCCAAGCTCTTCACAGCATCTCGGATGGACATCCAGCAGCACTCTTTTGCCGTCAGGGGCCGGGCGCCAAAGAAATTGGCCATCCAGCAGAAGTCGAGCCAGTACCTCTGTCAGGCCGACCCCTTCCACTGTGCCATGCCAAAGACTCTGCGACGCTGCAAATCGATGTGCATGTGACACGAACAAGCACGAACGCCACTGAGCTCGAAACAACTTGCAAGGAGAGGGCGCAAGTGCTGCTTCGGAGAGGCATTGATCATCTTCCTCCAGCGGATAGGCAGCAGCACACAGACCTGGCAGAATGGGCCAAATGTCTGCTGACATCAACATGTGCGTTGAGTCAGAAGGCAGAAATCCTTGGACCGTGGATTTGGCTTGATGAAGTCAACAAATCGGCCGTACTCAGCCAGACTGCCTCTCAGGGCAATGATCTGCCCCACGAACCTTGAGTGCCACAGCGACGGAGGTATGGTACCAGGGCCACGACGACGGCAACAAGAAAAAACACGAAACGCAACGACGAGGACAGCACGAGGCTTCAACGAAAATCGTCGCCATCCCGGCATGCGCTTGTCACAGCATCATGAACTAAATCTGCCCTTCCCGAAGAAGATTTGCACTGGGAATCGAAGATTCCGGGGCTGACGACAACCGGATGCTAACAGCCCCCACCGGCCCGCCGGCCCTGCGGCCCCGAGCTCAAGAGGCCTCCATGATGTAGACCTTGTTTCCACAGAGGCGTGAGTTTTGTCTCGACGTGTCTCTCCCCTCAAGAGGCCCCCTTTTTGAGGTCCGTCGGGTGCTGTGCCGCCGGGTGGCGATCCAGAAGTAGCCAGGAAGCGCTCCGAAGCTCCAAGCGACGAAGAGCCTCAGCGACTCAGCGTCGTGAGGAATCTAGAAAAAACAGCAGACTCTGTTTCAACTCTGTCTGCCACTGACACGCTCAGCTCACACTTTCCTCTCTCTCTCTCTCTCTTCGTCTCCTCTCGTCGAGCTGAAGTTCGCACGAGTTCGCCACCCCGAAGACGAAGTTCTTCTTGGTCATCCCCTCTCGAAAAGCCGCGGCCCCCCCCCCGACGCTCTAGGCCCTCGGCAGCACGCCGTTAGGCCTGGTCTTCGAGCTTCCTCGCCCGCTCCTCCACGGCTGCCAGGCACCTCCGCACCTCGGTGCGACACGACCCTGCTGAACGAAGGAGGGGGCGGGGGCTAAAGGCAGTGGCTACACGGCGCCAAGGGACAAGCTCCACCTCCCGGGCACTGATGCTCGAGACAGTCTCTTCCAGCAGCTTCTCCGAAAGCGCCGTAGAAGCTCCCGCCGTTGCTCCTTCCGAGGAGCGGCCGAGAGCGGCCGAGAGCGGAGGAGCGGAGAGTTCGGTTCGAGTGCTTGGGTCCCCCGCCGCCGGAGCCGCCGGGCCGGGGCCCGGGCCCCCCCATGGCCAGGGCCATTCCGCGGCGCCGCGAGGCGGTTCGAAAGCAACTTCTGCAGGGCGTGGGTGCGCTTCGCTCTTTTTGGGGGCTTTTTTTCTGGCGGCGGGGCGCTTCCGCGCTTCAGCAGCTCGTCCTCGTGAACCACGGATGCGCTGGCTGCGGAAGGCGCGCAGGAACGCGCGCAGGGAGAGCACTTGTTGTCCTACCAGGCTTTCGCTCCTCTGCTGTCGCTTTGCGACTCTCGAACTTATCTGCTTTTTGCTCGCGTCCACCTTCAGTGGCTGAGCGAATTTGGAATTTGGGTGAGACTCGAGTATGACCGCACGTCCAAGAAATTATCCGAAAATGCCCGGATTGGCCGCATGGACCTCTGCAGAAGGAGCTCGTAAAGAAACGACGTGAAGGGCAAGACCGCGGCAACACACCACCCCTCCCCCATCCCCAGAAGTTCCCTGCCTGGCCGAGCATACAGCGTTCCTCTTCCGGGAAGGAGCTCAGAGACCGCCGCAAAAGCCTTGAATAGGAATGACATCATGAAAAAACAAGTTGCGCATCTGCGAAGGGTAAAAAGAACGGGCTCTGGCTTCTTGTTCAGCGCTCTGACCCAAACATGAGTCTCCGCATAGGCCGACTCCACGTAGTGCGGCACCTGCAAGGAGAGCTCTTAAGTGAGCTGTTCCGCGAGAGCTGCCATGCATTGCAGCCTGGCCTGGTCCAACACGGCCATGTCACCCAGGGTGGTCCCAGCCTCGACGACTTCGTGCTCCTTTCGCCCAAGGACCTGCGACGCAACCGAGCCCGGAAACATCGGCCAAGCCCGCCAAGCCAGGCGACTAGGCGACTATCCGCCTCCAAACGAACCCGTCCCGAGCGGATGAAGTACATGAAGTTCCCCTCACATAGACACGCCGCGACACATCACAGCATCACACTCCGCCAAAATGCGCTTCAGCCCTCCTCGTCGTACTGCAAGTAAAGCGTCTCGCCGGGCCAGAACGCAAGGTCCTCCGTGCGGAGGACACGTCAGATCGCCGCAGCTGCTTCTGAGCTTCCCTTCCGCCTCTACGATCTCTGCTACCTGCGAGACGAAGCTGCGCGAGCAGGCGCGGAAGACCTGCCGAAAGGAGGCGAAACGAAGCTTCCATGGCCGAAGCGAAGCCGCCCGCCGCGCGTCTTTGGCCGGTCCAACCCGGCGCCTCGCTCTTCTCCACGCAGTCCGGCACATTCTTGGCACCTGCAGCGGCGCGGCGCCGCGGCGGCGCGGCCGCAGGCCCCCAGCCCCTCCCCTCACTTAGGCCAGTGCTCCCGTCGCCCACCGGGAAGCCGAAGGCATCCAGGATCTCGCCACCCGAGAGCACCCGCACCGCCGCTGTGTACCTGGACGCCGGTACGAGGAGAGAGAGGAGAGAGAGGGGGAGAGAGAGAGAGAGAGAGAGAGAGAGAGAGGGAGGGAGGGAGCGAGGGAGGGAGGGGCGAGAGTAATTCTAGTCGCTATAGAAGTCAGCAAGCTGGCCCTCCATGATCGTTTCTCTTAGAAAGTCCTACGCCCTGGCTGTGCCCGGACCGATCGAATGGGTCACGGAAGCATGTCATCCTCCATTAGTTCGTCATCCAGCGCCTTTTGGATGGTCGACTGCCTCAGAGAAGACATTAAACTTTGGCAATCAAGATTCAATTCAGCGTTCCTCAGATCAGCACTGCAGAAGCAGACAATCGCAAGCCAGCGTGGAGCGGATGGTGACCTGGGCAGCCGCCTTTACTAGAACTTCATTGTGGACACATGATCACAACTCCATCATGACTGTCACCTCCTTCGCTTCGGGTATCAGAATACCAGCACTCACAGCATCAACATCAGCTTCAGCATCAATGAAGGCATCACTCTGACTTTCACTCGGACCTTCAGCCTCATCGACACGTAAGTGAACCTAGTGACTCAGAACAAGAAGTGATGATGATAATGAGGGGGGGCGGGGTGTTGATGCCAGAAATGATGATACTTGTCGGCACGCAGTGGGGCCGACAAATGTTGAAGTGCTGACGTATAGGTGCGGGGTACTGATGATCCACAAGAATGATGATGACGCGATTTCACCACCACCGCCGCCACCACCAGGATGATGATGATGACGATGATGACGATGATGACGATGATGATGTTGTTGTTGTTGTTGTTGTTGTTGTCGTTGTTGTTGTTGTTGTTGTTGTTGTTGTTGTTGTTGTTGTTGTTGTTGTTGTTGTTGTTGTTGTTGTTGTTGTTGTTGTTGTTGTTGTTGTTGTTGTTGTTGTTGTTGTTGTTGTTGTTGTTGTTGTTGTTGTTGTTGTTGTTGTTGTTGTTGTTGTTGTTGTTGTTGTTGTTGTTGTTGTTGTTGTTTGTTGTTGTTGTTGTTGTTGTTGTTGTTGTTGTTGTTGTTGTTGTTGTTGTTGTTGTTGTTGTTGTTGTTGTTGTTGTTGTTGTTGTTGTTGTTGTTGTTGTTGTTGTTGTTACGATCTTGCTGCTGGTTCCGCCGTGTTGCGGCTGGCGGTGACAATGCTGCTAGCGGTAGAGCCTGATAGAGAGCAAGGTGGTAATGAAAGCATGGCCACGACGCCAAAGCTTCATGATCTCAAGTTGACATTGCAGGTAATGCGAGCGAGGGTCATCACGACCAGGAGATGTGGATCAAAGGCGATTACAGTGATGACTCGTGATGATGTGGTGACGGGGACACCGAGCGTGTGGACGAGAACACACACAATGCGCTGTTGTTCTTGCTGTTGATGATGATTGCATGCCGATGGCGCTGTGCAATCCGCCGATGTTCTTTGTGATGAGGATCGGGATGCTTCATGTTGACGACAGTGAAACCTTAAAGTGATGACTAACATGACGATGATCACGATGATGCTTACAGTGACGCTGAGTTCAACGACGATTCAATGAGGAAGAACAGGGCATGATGCCGATGATTAGTTCTGATGCATGAGGAGGAGGAGGAGGAGGAGGAGGAGGAGGAGGAGGAGGAATGGAAAGGGGACGACGACAGCGACAGCGATGTTGCTGATGTCAATGACAATCATCGGTCCCCGGGCATTCGGTGCGGAACAGTCCAGGCCCATGAAGTGGTGAAGCCCCACGTAGCCCCCTCGCAAATGTGCAGCGACAAGCTCTTTAAGGAGCTGCATAGACCCCACCTGCTGCGATCCTTCGAACTTCGATGCCCATGATGGTCACTTGCAACTGCGGGGAGCAGCGTCTCTTGCAGACTCGGAAACTCAACACAGACTGCTCGAAGGCTCGAAGCACCTCACCACGCACCACGAAGAGCATGGCTTCCTCCTCTATGGACTCGCCGGGTGAGTAGAGCAAGGAGCCTCGAACTCACAGAACCGCAAGGACCCTTCCTGGCTGGGGGGCCCTGCCTTGGGCCCTGCCGCCCTGCTGCCCTGCTCTTTTGGGCTCCCCACAGGGCCGGTAGTAGACCGGCTTCGCCTCCTCAACGATGTCTGCCAGCAGCGATGCCTCAAGAGATCTCAAGAGCGCAAGGACTGTGGCAGAACTGCGAGCCTGCAGGGCTTAGCGGCTCGGTTCCCGGCAGGGAGCTTGGCAAAGACGGGCAGGGCTGGCAAGGCCACTGATGGTGTCAAATTCTCCATGCATTGAGTAAATGCGACGCTGATGGTAGTCTGATGCGATCTGTGCCTGATGGCTCCGGGCAGTCGGTTTGCTTCCTCCACGTCTCGTTCGCGATGACCACCTCAAAAACGAGTCTCGGAGACAGAGCAGCGTGAGCATAGCGCTGCAAAGCCCTGTGAAGCTCTGCGGCTCATGCGGCTCGAGCCTTCCGTGTTTCCGGATAGGCCACCATTGCATTCTGCATGGCATGCCGGTAGAGGACGAGCACCAGGACGTTTGTCACCTCAATAACGCTGCATCCAAGCAAATGCTCGCTGCGCGAAAGCGGGAGCCACGGACGGCCACGGCGTCGTGGCCGAAGATGGGCGTGTTGCCAAGGATGTTATCTTGGTAGCACCACTCCCCACCTCAGCTGAGAAGTCGCACGAGCCGCACTGTCGCACTGAACCTTTCCAAGCTTATCCAATGTTTGCACCAAGTGGCGACGAAGCTCGACGAAGAACAGGGTTTGCGGCTGCTCACACCTGTGGCGGGGGCAAAAGACCAGAAGGAAGCCGGCTGGCGAATTGGCTTGGGCGGCTTGCCGCACAGTGCCGGCCAGCACGACCATCATTGCTGCCGAGTCGTCCTCAGCGCTGGGTGGGGGCCACATGGCTCAGCGCAAAGCATTCAGATCAGTGATGAGGACCCTGCACCCGCGAAGGCCACCATGTCACCCACGCAGAAGAGCCGAATGTCTGCATCCTCCGCTCTCCAAGGAAAACACTTCGTGCCGGCTCGTGCTGCGTGCCTTCCCTCCCTTAAGATATCTGCGCTCTTCCGTCGCCTTGTGGAGTCTTGCCAGGAAGGGCTGGTAGGCACAGCTACAGAAGGCCGGGATGTTCTTCAAGATCCGCCAGTCGGCCTCCGAGCCATTTCCCCCGCGGCTTAGCATAGATGCTCGTTGCTGAGGAGAGACACCGGAGAGACGGAGGAAACGGATGACCAGGAGCAACAAACCAAGCTGGTCTGCCTCTTTGCCTTCCTCGAGAGATTGCTCCAACGCCCGCAGTCGTGTTTTGGGCAATGGATGACCTCGCAAGACTTCACTGCCACCAAGGACTTTCGGTTGGCTTTGCAAAAGTGACAGCCCTGTACAACTGATACCAACAATATGGCACATTCATCCGGGGAGGTACATAATTTCGACCTACTTGCACAACATACCGTCGTAGAGACTGCAACCGAACCATAGCCGCACGCACACCGCTTCCAACCCATGTAATTTGGAGCATCATTATACAGCATTGCCATGAGACTCTAAGCTGCTTGCAGTTATGGTCCAGTCATGGACCAAACACGAGATGCCCTCAGCACTCCCTCAGCCTGGTTGGAGATTCTGTTTTGCCGCAAGCACCCGCCCCCGTTGAGATGCGTGTATCCCCTTGCTAGGCGTACAAGAACACAGGCTCGCAGGAGTCTTGTTTAACAGGCTCGCAGGAGTCCTTTGTTTACTACAGAAGCGCAGCTGTAGATCGCACTCTATTAGAATCCTGAGAAACAGGCATGGATACATGCAAGCACAAATTTTGACCATGTAACATTGCATGGCCGTGAAATGCCGTGAAGTCATTGCCCAGCGAATTAATTAATGGCGGAGTGATTGAACTACGAACTGTAACTGTAACTTGCGAGAATCTATACATCTCAACCTGCAGACAGCATATTGAAAAAGCAGAACACGCATGCGAAGCGCAAGCGAACCTTCGGTCAAAACTCTTTGCTCGAAAGATGCCCACATGTTCAATTTCATCTCGAGATGGAGAGCTCACTGCACAAAGATGTAGAGCTTGGCTCCACTTGATGCCAGCAATGGCTTTATGCAGCTTGGGGAAGAGTCGCTGATGATTTGTGTGTATGCTATCCTGTGATACGTATCTCTTTTGTCTTTGGGCAACCTTCAGAGGAAGTCACTTTTCCTGAGAAAGGCATCTCCCTATGAAATGGCAGAACACTTCAAAGGGCAGGTCCTGAGAAGCCCAGCCGGGCCACAAAAAAAACATTAGTTAGGCCACCGACCCTGAGGAGCTGATGATACATGTGCCTTCTAATTACTTATTACTAATGAATTATATGCCCTCAATACAAATCTCAATAAGTACATGCCCTCAGTCTCCTTCTTTCCTTTGAAGGAAGCTCCTTGAGGAAGCAAAGCAGCCTGAGCTTCGTCTTTGCAGGAGCTGAGAAGAAGCCCGAGGATGCTCCTCAGACTATGACGGCCATTGCTGAGGAGACACCCTCAGAGGCTGCAGGCAGCTCTTCAGGCTGGCTTGGGGCCCTCTTGTTCATTGCCCTGAGAGCTTTGGCCCCTCAGCCGGCTCTTCATTGCAGCCTTAGAGCCCTGCCCCCTGCCAGGAACTGCGACGGAGAAGAGTGAGAAGCCTGAGCAGCCTCCGAAGGCTGAGGCTGAGAAGAGTGCCAAGGCTCCTACTCGTAATAAGGACGCCTGAGCTTGCTGCTTTTGGATTCTCAGCACTTTCCTTTGAGGTTGGGGTTGAGGGCCTCCTTTAAAGCTCGGGTTCAATTAGGCAGTTAACTAAGTAACTAATTGCCCCGAAGTAGTCAAACAGCCTCGAAGCTGGATCTCCCCACCTCAGGGTCCATCAAGCTGAAGTTTTAATTGGTTTTTGCAGGGTCGCCTCAGGACCGCACAAAAAAGACTAAGAACACCATTCTGCTCAGGCTCGACCGTCGACCTGAGCCTGCCGTGCCTGAGAAAAAGTTGAAGTCCTCAAGTCCTCAGCTCCAAGGCCGAAGCCTTGTAGGTAAACCCCACCAAGAACCTCAGCCCCGAAGGAGAGCCCAGAAAACCTCGAAATTCCTATCCAAACCTTAGGGAAAGCCCTAGAAAGCCTGGACAACCTTGAGATTAGAATCCTGACACCTTGGGAAAGCTTTAGAAGGCCCTCGACAATCTGGAGTTTCCTATCCTGAAACCTTAGTAAATGCCTGTAAAACCTTGAGATTCCTATCCGGAAAACCCTCCTAAAGCCCTTAATGCATTAGCAACCTAGAACCCGAGCCGCCAGGGTTTTAGGAAGGAAAACAACGCATTAAAGAAGCTCACCGGATTCAAAAGGGCCACCACGTTCAGACTTGAAACTCGTCCCATGGCGATGAAGGCTTCAAGGAGAAGGTAAGGAATAACAATGCAAACCCAACAGCTCCCAAAGGCATCAGAGACCTCTACAAATCTCACCGGACGACGCTCCGCGACAGCTTCGAGAGTCAGCAACCGAAACACAGAAACCCAGACCTCTGCGCAGGCTGCCCACACATCTAGAAGTCCCTGCATAGCAAGATCCCACAGTCATGGCAAGATCCCACAGTTCCAGTTGCCAAATGGACATGGTTTCAGGTGGCCGCCCTGCTCCCTCCCAAAATTGCTGCAACTTCCGGACAAATGCTATATTGCGAAAGTTTCTGTCCTCCACCTAGAATCCTAGAGAATAAGAAAACTGCGAAATTCGCTGATTTTCTGCATAGATTACGAAGAATGAAAGACCACAGAGAAGACCACACCGAAGACATATCTCAAGACCCTAAAACTTCAAACGACAAGCTGGAGATGGCACGGATTATGAGGCCACGGTGTAGTCGCGAATTTTCAGGTGAAGACATGGCAGTCATCAACAAAAATATCTGTGCGTGTGGCTCTTGTTGAAGCTGAAGGCTTCAGCACTTGATCGGACTTCTCGCTCACATCACGGGACGCAGCTTGGCGCCCCGCCGTCCAGCATGTCCATGAGCTTCGTTCTTCTCAGGACCTCTGCGGTTTGGACACTGCGGAAGCCGGTCCGGGCCTAGGACGCCGATCCGATCCGGCCTGGATCATGGCCTCCCCATTGCAGGTCGGAGACACCTGCACCTGGCTCCCGTGCTTTCGCTCAGAGTTTCAAGGCTTTTTGAGGCTCTTGGCGCGGGACAGTTCGTGTCCAACCGTTCAAGGCCAAGAGCTGAGCAGCTCCCTGCACAGAGCCTGGAACGGGAGCGGGGCAGCGGCGGGGCGTGCCGGGCGCGTCCACTCCACCAAGAAAGCTCTCAGCTGTGCCTTGTCCAACGTTTTCGATCTCGCGGTCCTCCAACAGGACCTCAGCTGCCAATGTGCCTCTTAAGCGTCACTCTCATAAGTCGCCTTATGAGTCCTCAACAAGCCTCATCCATTAAATCTGTAAATCTATTATCTCTGTCCCCCCACCGCGGACCACGGCGCTCTCGGAGCCTGAGGCCGGAGCCACGCAGGAGCCATGCACGAGAACGAAGACGAAGTCAGCATCCGGCTCCTTAAATCTCAAGGAATGCCGCCGGAAGGCCTACAGTCCTACGGAGTCCTACGCGCTAAGCCTCGTCCGCCACGATGGTCTCGCCAGGCAGCAGCCAGCGAGGCTCCCAAGCCCTGAAAAAATGTCTGGGCAGCGATGCGCAAGGCAGTGCCTAAGCCTTTTGCATCCTTTTGCCCCACCGAACGAGCTGATCCAGCAGCCGCGGCGGGGCATCGTGCACCAAGTCCTTGCTTGGGCTTTTGGGGGAGATGCCAGAGTAACAACACAGAGCAGCGTGTTGGATTTCATCCCCAGGTCCCAGATCACAGAGTAACTCTTCAGGGCGCTCATCAGCACGTGCTCGAAGGCATCGGCCCCAGGCACGTGCCTGCAGGTGCTAGCCTCACTCTGACCCTTTTGAGACTTCGCTTGGAGGGCCCGCGGCCCGCCTATAGCGGCCGGACAGCCAGCCCTGAGCGGGGGGGCGGGGACCGCACCGCACGTGGCCATGGCCCGCCGAGGTCCCGACCGCGAAGGTCCCGGCGGCTGCCTCCGCCGCATTGTGCCGGTCCTGGTCGAAACGTTCCGGAACCTCCTTCGCAGAGCCCTCTGAGAGCCCTCTCCTTGTGCGCCGGCGGGCCCGTGATCTGAGAGGGAGCTACAGGGAGTCAGTGGCCCCGCTCTCTGCTGTTTTGGGGCTGCGGCTGGGCCCAGGTGCGAGGGCCGGTCCTTGACCTGAGAGCTGTCAGTCATGGAGAGGAGCGGTGAGAGTAGTGCTTGCCGGCTGTGCCTCGTTCTTCGTGGAGGGGAGCGCCTTCAAGACATCCAGCCGATCGTGGATCCTCATAACTCAGGACACTTTAAACATTTCCAGACTCGTGTCACTAGACCTCATGGTCCTCAAGATCCAAAACCCTAAACGCTGAGCTTCGGACGTCAGGCCACGTGGCAGGAAGAGGGCCTTCTCCTCACCTGACAAGCTGTAGCACTCTGAGGAGCATCGATGGCCCCCGAGTTTTCACTAGAATCTTGGGTGCCGCGCAGTTGCCAAGTGCTTGCAGCAGCACGGAGCGGTGCAAAATGGCCAGCAACACCTGAGAGCCGGGGCGAAAAAGGGCTCTAGGGGCCCTTGGAAGGCCTTTCGCTCCACGCCGCCGGGGCCCCGGCAGGGCCTTTGGCTCTCAGCACGCCCGAGAGGACGATCGGCACACCCAGGAGCGCCAGGCGACCGATCTGCGACGGCGCCGACTCCACTCTTCGATGAGTCTTTGGCTCTGTCAAAAGTTCCCGAGGTTCGAGCCCGCTTCTCAATACTGTGCCTCGCTACTCTTCTTCCGCCTTCTCTGCCGAGTTCCTTCCTCCACCCTCTTTGTGCCCACCTCCAAACCTGGCATTCCCGTCCTACCTTCCGCCTCTCACTTCCGCGCCGGGCTTTCCCATTGTCCAAGCTCTGCTAGACCTTGAACGCTGCACATAGCCAGAGTCTATTTGCCTCCTCTCCTGCTTATGCAGAGAAGCGCGGAGTGTAACTCCCCCCCCCTCACGCATGCTTTTTCTGTTTCGTCATGTTCGTCTTCTTTGCACAAGCGCTGCAGCTTCGACAGGCTTGAAAGACGTGAAGCCTCCCTGCCCACAACCCGAGTAGCGCTGCGTTTTTTGCTGCGAGTCTGCGAGCTGCATGTGGCCGCATAATGACAGAATGTGCTCCCTGCCTGCATACCAGGGCCCAGTACAGCCTGTGGCTCTGGTGGCGGTTCCTCCTGTGGAGGGTTCAGAAAGAACCGAACCTCAGCTCAGTCCACAGGACCCAAAGCTGTCTCTCAGGAATACTTGCAGCTCTGTCACCTGCTCGGCAACTTCGAGGCCATGAGGACTTAAAAGCTTCGCCTTTCGCCGGTAAAACTCCCCAAGTCTCAAAACTGCCGACAGGCCGACAGCTGCCTTTTCCAGCACATCGAAGACCACAAGACAATCGGGGTCTCCCCAGAGCCACCGCCAGTCGGACGTCTTCCTTGCAAGTGACACTACGGCCGCTTGCGGCCCGTGAGAAACTCCGCGAGCTCCGTGCATTCCGCTCAAGTCCAGCCGGCCTTCCTCAACAAAGTACACTGTCCGCCACTGTCCGCTGTCGGCCTTTGTCGGCCCTTGTCCCACAAAACGCAGGCCAGGCCTCCGCTGCTTTGCGCAAATGGGCCTCCATAACAAAGGCAAGGCGCAAACGCTCCCCGATTGTCTCCAAGTTGGGGCGCGGGCAATGGCACGTTTGATGTTCTGCGGCATCACCAAAGACACCATGATCACCTTCACGCCAGCGGCTTGCGTGTGAAGAGAACATCCCTTCTTCCCCCTCTGTTTCCGCCTCCTGCTCGGCGGTGCGGTCTGGCTGTTCCATCAAATATCTTCTCACTTTCTCCTGCGCTGCGTCAAGAGGTGGATCACCCTTGTTTGCCGGCTCTTCTATGCGGACAATGCTAGAAAAACATGCCAGCGCCAAAATTTTCGCATGTTGGCATGCTTATTAACACGACCCCATTTTGATGATATGTACGGCAGAAAACGCAGAAAAAAAAACCCTATGTTTCTGTAAGGAAAGATTTGCTGAATCTAACAGTGAACATATTTGGAGGATTCAGGCCAGATTCTGCACAATGTGTTCTGTCACCCCATCATGGTTTGGGCATGGATGCACCGGCCAATGTTGGGGTTGGTAGCACGGACGTCATCATGGTTTGACCATAGATGCACTGGCCGACGGATGGGTTGGCAGCATGACTGATCATGAGTTGGGCATGGATGCATCGTGGATTGGATGGGTTGGTAGCATGGACGCTATTATCATTTTGGGCAAGGATGCACCGGCCAATGGATGGGTTGGTTGCATGGACATACTATTACAACTACAACTACAACAACTACTACAACAACCACTACCACTACCACTACCACTACCACTACCACTACCACTACCACTACCACTACCACCACCACCACTACCACTACCACTACCACCACCACCACCACCACCACCACCACCACCACCACCACTACTACTACTACTACTACTATTGTTATACTACTACTGCTACTACTACTACTACTGCTGCTACTACTGCTACTGCTACTGCTACTGCTACTGCTACTGCTACTGCTACTGCTACTGCTACTGCTACTGCTACTGCTACTGCTACTACTACTACTACTACTGCTTGTAGTACTAGCAGAAGTCGTCGTCGTAGTAGTACGCTTCTCTGCTTGTCCGACGCAGCACCTTCGCACAGTCATACCCCATCGAACACGTGGCGTATCATGGCGTGATACTGCTCACATCATATGTATTCTGCATGTAACCGCTACGACAGTGTTGTATGATATAGCAATATGCCAAGAAGCTCAGGACCGGGAAGCCAAGCAGCCGAGAAGTTAGGAAGTCACGCGGGCAGGAAGTCGAAAAGCCAAAGAGCCGGGAAACCGGAATAAGGCCGAAAGCCAAAAACACAAAACGCACCCAAAACTGTGAAAATAACACCTCCCTGTCTCCCCCAGACTTTGCCAACCTTCGTTGGCTCAAGACCACTTTGCCCTACCGGAAAAGGCGCTGCTGAACTTCAGGGCTACTTTGGTCTCAGTCGTGTGAGCTTGTGCACGGAATTACTTTAGGGTAGTTTGGTGCGCATCCTGGACTAGTGTACTTTCGCATGGTAGCGGAGCTGAAAGCTCCACGGAACTTTGGTAGAACAACATGGCACTAGGAGGTGAAGACAACTTTACGGGAAAGCTTCGGCTTCCTCTGCCAGAGACTTTCTCTGGGAACCCAGCAGACTGGGAAGAATGGTCATGGAACTTTAAAGCGTACATTTCGATGTTCGAGGTAGGTGCTGTGACTTTGATGGACAATGCCGAAATGCGAACGGCAGCGCAAGGTGACTTTACAGATGCTGATCTAACAGTCACTTTGGACACAGGTGATGCAGACCCGGAACAGACCGCCAACCGAGTACTTTTCTCCCGAAAACTACATTACCTGATTTCTCAACTTGTGAAAGATTCGGCGAAACTTGTTGTTCGGCAGAATGAGGATTCGAACGGTTTCGAGACCTGGAGGAGACTTTACAAGAAGTTCTCGCTGCCAGGAGCCACGCGGAGCACGTCACTTTTGACGCAGCTGCTGGACTTTAAGTTCAACCCAGCAACCTTTGAGCAGGACTTTAATGTTTGGGAAACAATCAAGAGTAGATACGAACGACAAGCAGGACAACCTTTGCCTGATGGTGTTCTTGTTGCAACTTTGCTGAACAAGACTTCTGGAGCTTTACAACAACACCTTAGGTTAAATGCCCAAACTTTGGCGACTTATGCTCAGGTTCGAGAAGTTATCCTTGAGTACCATAGATCACGACTTTTGATGAACCCAGTTGCACAAACTTCGGCGAATGCAACTTTTGCTGGTGGAGCTTCGGCTCCCATGGACATTGGCGCCTTAGCGGCAGCTTTGTGGAAAGGAAAAGGAAAGAAAGGAAAAGGAAAGAAAGGAAAAGGAAAAGGAAAAGGAAAAGGAAAGGACTTTTCGAAGTCGTATGGAAAAGGAGGACAACATTGGAACTTTATGATGAAAGGAAAAGGAAGAGGAAAAGGAAAAGGAAAGCCCACTTCTAGTTCTACTTCGGTTTGCTGGACGTGTGGTAAAACAGGTCACTTTTCGAGCAAATGTCCTAACTACCGTGTTTCAGCAGTGGAAGGTGAAGAACTTTACCCATCGGAGGATGCAGGAGATTGGTCTCACTTTGGTGAGGACGATTGGTCTGATTGGACCGAGTGGGCGATTAACGCGGTGACGGAACTTTACAACGACCCTAGCAGTTGGGATCAGACTTGGGATGATCAACTTTGGTCCTGGGATGCTTGGTCCTGGGATGCTTGGTCCTGGGATGTTGACCCTTGGGGTTGGTCTTCGGACTTTACTTCAGAAGTTTGGCCTTCAGAGGCTGCTCCTTCGGCGAAGGCCGAAACTTTGGCGAAGCCCAAGGAAGAGGCTTCCTCGTCAAGCGGCGCGGCAACTTTGCCCGTGTCGGCTGTGACTTTGCAAGGACCACCTGGACTTTCAACCCCCAAAGCCAAGCCTAAGGCTAAAGCAAGCATCAGCCCGAGCACTTTGCTCATGTCGGCTGTTGTTCTCGGCAACTTTGGTTTGGGGAACACTTTCAGAGTTGATGGGATGACGAACGGAGTTGTAGACTTCAGCTTTGGTGGTTTCGGAGAGTGTGAGAACTTTGAGCCTACGGCCTTTATGGCACCGCTTGAGACTTTCTCCTTGAATGGTCGCACGGATGAGAACCAACGATTTTTCAGTGTTGGGGATCTCGGTCTTCAGAATTTGAATACGACTTTCAAGGATGTTGCTTTGGAAGAGCATTTGATTGCTTCGACTTTGGAGGACACCGAGCCGTGGATCCTCTTTGATTCAGGTGCTGCAACTCATTGTTGCCCGAAGGACTTTGCCTCAGAGTGGCCACTTCTGCCACTTACAGGTAAGGCTCCACCTTTAAGGAGCATTTCTGGTCAGCCTTTGACGGTCTTTGGAAGGAGACTTGTGAAGGTTGACTTTGAGGGCCAGCCCTGTTTCTTACACTTCTACGTTTGCGACGTTCCCTACTGTGTGGTGTCCGTTGGCAGACTTTTGAGGTCAGGCTTTGACGTGAACCTTTCTTCTAAGAAGGCGAACACTTTGGAAACACCGGATGGACACAAGGTGCCCATCACTAGGCATGGTTCACTTCTCTTCTTGAGGCCCACTTTGGCACCTTTCAACCGGGAAGAGTTTGAGGTTGTGTGTAACACTTTTCACACACAGAGCGCCCAAGGTACCATAGTGGCCCCAGTTTTTAAGCCTGTCGTCCAGCATCACATTGACAAATGGGAGCTCTCGGGTAATACTTTAACCCGCATACACAAAAGAGCGAGAGCTACTTTCTTTTCTCCCGAAGGGACGAAAGATCGCCCTGTAGAGCTGAAGGACCTTTCAGATGAACGCGTAACCTACTTTGAGTACGCAGATGGCAGAAAAGAGACTTTCACCGACAACTGGCGTAAGGTAGCTAACCCAAAGGGCCCAGCTTCTGAACGTTTTGTTGGCCAGACTGTTTTTAAACTTTCCTCCAAGCCCACTGGCCGCAAGCTGGTTGGAAAACAGACAACTTTACCTGAACCCACACCTGCACGCAAACCACAACCACTTGAACAACAGCAGGAACCTTTAGCAGAGGCCCCACAACCACTTTTCAAGCAACCCACTAAAGGCCTCAAGGAGCAAAGCACCGAGGACACTTTCCGTCTGCGCCTTGAGCAGACTTCTTCAGGAACGTTGGAAGACTTTCGGAAGGCTTTGCTTGAGCAACTTTTGGAGAAGGACCCGGCAACAGGCCAGCCGTACACGCACGACTTGTGGCTTGACTTTCCGTCTTGCTGGGTGCGTGTCCACTACGAACAGCGGACCACACTTTTTGCGCCTGAAGATCCGCACTTTGAAGAGCAGCTTGGCGACGGTCGCATGACTTTGGTTGTGAGACCAGACACGGAAGAGGTGCCCTTTTGGCACGCTGACAATTGGCGCAAGCGAGGCGCCCCTTTGATCAGCTCACCTTTTGTCGGAGCCACTTGCTTTGAGAAGGCAGACTTGCAACTTGTTGAGTGCGAGCCAGAAGCTCCAGACTACGTTGCGCGTCGCCCTCGCGGGCTTAAGCAGCCGGGCGAGCCTACTTTGACGGAGCGGCTTGAGCATGAGTTGACACACTTGCCGTTTAAGCCCTGGTGTGAAATTTGTGTGCGTGCTAAGAGCAAGCAGGCCAAGAGTCGCAGACTTTCCCTGAAGCAGCCTGTGCTGCAGATGGACTTTAGCTTTCTTGGTGATAAGCCTGGTGAGGAACAGATCACGATTTTGAATGTTGTCGATGTTCTTTCGGGCATGGCACTTTCTGTTGTGATACCCACCAAGGCCCGCACACCTTACTCGCAGGCAGAACTTCGTCGCTTTGTGCTTGAAACGGGCAGAACTTTCGGTGTGTTGCAAGCGGACCCCGAACCCGCCCTCCTCGCTATTGCAACTTCTGTCACTGGTGAGGTTGGTGGACTTTCCTTTCGGAAAACGCCCGTCGGTTGGAAACAAGCACAAGGCAGCGTTGGTAACATGCAGGCCACTTTGTACGGCCAGATCAAAGCCTTGCGCCTTGACATACTTGAGCGCTTCGACGTGGACCTTTCGGTGCACTCTGCTTTGTTTACTTGGCTTGTGCGTCACGCGCAGTGGCTTGTGAACCGTTACCTTTGCAACGCGGAAGGAACGACGGCTTTTGAGCGGCGCTGGCGTAAGAAGTATGCTGGCTTTGTCTGTCGCTTTGGAGAGACAGTACTTTTCCGCAA